AGCTGTAATGTGCCCTGCCTATTTTTTTACTTGTCTAACACCAGACGATTTTACTTGTCAGTGGGGAAGCTCTACAGCGTAATGGGTTAAACACTTTGAGTGGAGAGTATATTTATTGTTTTGAATGTTAATTTATGACCAATACAAGAAATTATTCTGGGATCTATATCCCGATCTATATAAATTTTTAAAAGAATTTAAAAATTTAATTTTGCAAAAGAACAGACAGGGACACTGGAAAAAGTATGAATTATAGGTGGAAGTGGATGTAATGTTGAAAATATATATGTGAAATTTTCTATATATTAATTTAATAATTTTCAAAAGTAATGGGTGAGAAAAAATGTAGAAAAAAATGTTTACCATTTTTTTGGTGAAATATTGTTATGGAAAATCCCCCCCCCCTTTTTTGGCAGGAAAAGATTCCAGCTGCCCCTCCCCTCCCCCCCCCCGCCACATTTTTCAGAAACAAAATATTAATTTGTCATTGAAATGATTTGCCCTTATGTTGACATTGCCCCCTGTGCCATATACTCGCTCTGGTGTCCCTGGTGTTTATTACATTCATATGTTTAATGATAAGAAATATTGTCTTGTTGCTGTCTCTCCATTTACAGGTTACATTATATAACATCAACAAACTGTGGCCTTTGTCAGGGAAACATGTCATGGTGTTTCAAAATAGAGGTCCAAAATACCACTGGCTTATAGATCTTTACGACAGAATTCACCTTCCAGTAATACCTGCAGTCATTGAAACCCTTCAGAAAGAGGTTGCTGCTAGAATGAAAGAGGTAGGTAGAGGTAAAACAGAAGGCAAAAGAAGGGCAGAATCTGCATGAAGGTTGCTAGAGCTGAAGACCAAGAAGCAAGGAAAAAGTGGCTTAAACGAAAGGAGCTACATCATTCGTATGGCACCAATGATGCAGATGAAGGAGTAGAAGAGGATGAGGATGACCCAAATCTCATTGCTGGTGCAGTAAAGGCAATTACAGGAGCTGAACAAAGTTGCGGGACATTGACTGTTGTAAGTGGGAAAAGTTGTCGATGTGGGTCAAAAGAGCACCGCCGAACATCACACTCCCTGTGTCCTTTAAATCCAAAAAACAAAGGAGACTGAACATTTGTTTTCTATATAACATATAATACTAAGTATAGTGTAGTTATTTTTTTCCTTTGTTCTGTTTCTTTACTGGCCAACTAGCATTGGATAAGTCACCAATGTTTACCTTGTATACCTAAATAATAAATAAAAATGGTGTTATATGGTAATAAAGTTTTATATACTACTTTATAACCTAAATAAACAACATAGTATGAAAACCACACCTACCCTTGGATGGGTTGGATCGACATGATCTGCCAAATTTCCAGGTATTATTTTCCGGATAACAGCCTTTAAGGTTTGGGGGTACACATATGTTGGCTTCCCTCCTTCGACATCGCAACCAAGGGATTTCTTACTTCCAAACTAGAAATATGACATTGGTCCAATTTACTGATATATTGGAGTATTCATTATATATTAGCATATCATATAAAAAGCATCATTGACAATTCAGTAAACAATATAAACTGAGAGATAAACAATAAAACACAAAAAGTGTATTAGGCCCTGTTCACATGAACCCGGGACAGTGTTTAATATTTAACAGTTTATGGCATACCTGAAGTTAATTAATGCGCAAGTGTCAATCAAAAAGCATGCAATTTGTACATTGCAAGAATTTGTGTGATTGTGTTGAGACGGGGCGAGAATAAATATATTTTTCATAAAAGCGTTTGAAATCTCTACTTTTAGTGAGTTGTTGTGAATATAGGAGGCAATTCACGACACAGTGGCACCTCCGAATGGGATTAATCATGAGTTAGCTCGAATCAAGAGCAAAAAACCTGTGCTTGTTGTGAAGAATCGACATCAATTGTGAAATAATATATTTTATATATTCTCGAGTATAAGATGGATAAACAACTAAACGAACTCGCGAGCAAAGTAAAAGCCCTGAGATTTAGGCAAGGAAAAACCGAAGAAATAATGGCTAAACAAGACCGGCAAGCGTCTGAGCGTCAGCAAGAATCTATTGACAATGTCACCAAAGCGATAATCAATCTTAAAGAGACCATAGAAGAAAAGAAATTTTCCAAGGGCGAGAGCGAAGAAGACGTCGCAGAATGGGCTAAAGAATACGAAGACGAACTTGCTATAGCGGACGAAAATGTACGAAGATTGGCTCAACAAATTAAAGAAATCGATCGCCGAGAACAACACGAGAAGGCAGTGCAAGATCATAAGAAAAACCTTGAATTTGAGCGAGAATTACTCGAGCAAAAAGCTGAATTTGAGAAAGAACGCGAGAAAGAAAAAGCAAGCGAAGCAGAAAATAGCGAACAATGTAAACAAAATTCTGCCGCTAAATTACCGAAGTTACCTATAACGAAATTTGACGGCAAATTCGAATCATGGCTCCGTTTTGGGGAAAATTTACGTCGGAAATCGAATCAACGAAAATACCAATCTTAACGAAGTTTGCCTACTTAAAAGAATTACTTGATGAGTCTGTACGTCGTGACATTGACGGCCTGCTATTTACCGAAGCGGGATACTCAAAAGCCAAAGATATTCTCGAAACCGAATACGGACAGTCAGCTGAAGTTGCGAACGCATACATAGTAAATATCACCAATCTACCGGTAATTTCAGGGACAAATCCTACTAAAATACACGATTTCTATAAACAACTGAGATATAACGTTCAAAGTCTTGATACACTTGGCAAATTAGATGATGTGAGAGGAAATGTGCGAGCAACTTTGGACAAGTTAAAGGGAATAAAAGCAGACCTAGTACGCGGAAATGAAGGCTGGCAAAAATGGAGCTTTGATGATCTTCTAAAAGAGCTGAAAAAGTGGAAAGATATCAATCCGATCGAGGAAAAATCAGAGCCAAAAGATCAACTAAAGGGCGGGAAAGATTCAAGATCGAAGTTTTTCCATGCAAAGGATTCGGGATGCGACACGCGAGAACGAGGTTGTGTGTACTGCGAGGATACCACGCACAAAGGCACGAACTGCCCAATGGTTGTAACAAGAGAACAAAGAAAAAAAATTCTGGCAGAAAAGAGACTATGCTTTAATTGCACAGGAAGTCAACATCGTGCTGTCAACTGTAAAAGCAAACTCGGATGTCAGAGATGTAACAAGAAACACCATATGTCAATCTGTGAGCAATCACAACAACTTTTAGTGGCTGGAGGTCATATGAACATGCGCGTTACGCACCCAGTGGTTATAGTCGAAGTTGAAGGTGTTAAGTGCAGAACCCTGCTCAACACCGGGGCAGGCAGTTCCTACGCGTCGGCAGCACTTTTGGATCGCATTCCAAAGCGGCCGTCCAAGAGAGAAATACGAAAAATTGATATGATGCTCGGCGTGACTACGAGGGAAGTCAAATTGTCAACCATTGAAATCAAGGGAACATCGGGTAAATTTTCTATGAAAGTCGAAGTCACTAAGGTGAACAAAGGAGAACTTGTGTTCATAGACAATCCGAGATATCAGAACATGATAGAGCAAAACCCACACTTGAAAGGAGTCATCATGGAAGACATTGATCAGAAAGAGCGACTTCCGGTGCACATCATTCTCGGAGCAAGTGACTATGCAATGTTGAAAACTGATCAGCCACCCAGAGTTGGTAAATCGGGGCAACCGGTAGCTGAGTTGACACAGTTTGGATGGACCATCATGTCCCCTGGAAAAGAATCCTGCGACGTGACCAATATGCTTTTGACTCAGACATTCCAGGCTGATTACGAAGAACTGTGTCGCCTGGATGTCTTGGGTTTGAAAGATACACCCACCAACGACCAGCACAGTGTATTTGACGAGTTCAAAGAACAACTTACCCGGGACCCAGCTGGTTGGTACGAAACAGGGCTACCGTGGCGCGGCAACCATCCTGTATTACCCAACAACGAAGCTAATAGTTTGCGATGATTAGCAAGTTTAACGAACAGACTCGAGCGGCAAGGTTTGACAACCAAATACGGGGAGATAATGGAGGAACAAAAGGCAGAGGGGATAATTGAGAAAGCTGAACTGCGGAGCGTAGGAAGAGAATTCTACATCCCTCACAAAGCAGTTATTCGACCTGATGCAGAATCCACAAAAATGACGCTTCTGCAAAAGCACATGACGGTGTTCCGTCGCTGAATGAGTGTCTACATCCGGGACCTCCACTGCAAAATAGAATGTGGGATGTGTTAGTTAGAGGACGGTTTCATCCAGTAGCTCTGACGGGTGACTTGCAAAAGGCCTTTTTGCAAGTACGTATTCGCGAAAACGACCGAGACGCACTTCGATTTCACTGGCGGAAAGATCAGCAATCAGAACTAGAGACCTTGAGATTTACCAGGGCACTTTTCAGGCTTGTATCATCTCCTTTCTTGTTGGGGGGAGTCATTGATGCTCACCTGAGTAACTGGGAAGAAAGAGAACCGGAAGTAGTAGCAAAACTGCGTGAAGAGTTGTACGTGGACGATTTGATAACGGGGTCAACATCAGTATCGAACAGGAAGAAGTTAAAGAGAAAGCAACAACTATTTTCGAGGATGCGGGGTTTATGCTTCACAAATGGCACTCGAATGAGCGTGAATTAGAGACTACACAGTCACAAGACGGTAATCCTACCTATGCAAAACAGCAGTTAGGGACCCCAGAAGGGGGAGATAGCAGCTTGCTCGGACTTGTGTGGAATAAAGAACAAGATACAGTCGCTGTTACAATGCCCACTGAAAAGACGGTGTTTACCAAACGGGGCGTCTTGGCAAAGCTCGCCAAGATATATGACCCTTTGGGCTTCGTATCTCCTTTAACGCTTACGGGTAAACTTATCTACCGTGCAGCATCTGACACCAAGAACGCCTGGGATGCACCATTTTCAGAAACCCTCGCAAAGTTGTGGAACAAGTGGAACAGTGAACTTCCAGTACAAGTAGAAACTGAGAGATCTTTGGCAGTATATCAAGAGCCAATTGAAGCCATCCAACTGCATTCCTTTGGAGATGCGAGCGGTAACGGGGTTGCGGCGTGTGTCTATGCCGTAGTTGAGCAAGATTCGGGGACCAACCAAGGCCTAGTCGCGGCGAGATCAAGACTGCCGAAGCGAGGATTAACGATTCCGAGGCTTGAACTGGTAGCGGCGCATATGGCAGTCAACTTGGCTTCAAATGTAAAGGAGGCATTGATCGGATTTCCGGTTACGAAAGTTCAATGTTGGTTGGACAGCTCGGTAGTCCTGCATTGGATTACGGGGGGCGGCGAGTACAAACAATTCGTTTCAAACCGGATTAACAAGATCAACCAGCACCACAGAGTTGTGTGGCGACACGTGCCCTCAGCGTTCAACCCTGCTGACCTTGCAAGTAGAGGGGGCCAAGTAGACAATGTAAACTTGTGGTGGAATGGCCCTGAATGGCTGTCTAACACAGAACTTTGGCCAGAAGACATAGTAACTGAGCCAACGACAGAAAGCGATGCCGAAGCCAGAGCAGTAAAACAATTATTCACAGTTGCAGTCGACGAAAAGAATGAGATCGACAACGTATTACAAAGATTTCCTTTACAGAAAGCTGTAAGAGTGTGTTCATGGATCCGAAGATTTGCCCACAACTCGCTTCGTAGTTGAGGAACAGAACGCATAAAGGGACCGCTGACAACGGACGAAACTGAACGCCAACGACAATTTTGGATTAAACAAGCCCAAGAGAATTGTGATCTCGAACAAGACCGCACCGCGCTAAATTTACAACCTGGCAAGGATGGCGTGTTGGAATGTCGTGGTCGGATACAGGGAGAATACCCCACTTACCTCCCAGACACCCACCAGTTCACTCTCAAAGTCGTTGAAGAAGCACACCTCGTAACACTACACGGTGGAGTCGGACTAACTATGACCAAAGTTCGCAGCCGTTACTGGGTACCAAGACTAAGAAGACTGGTGAGAAAAGTACGCAAGAGCTGCCATGGGTGCAAGAGATTTACAGCAACTGCTTATGCAACACCACCACCAGGGATCCTACCAACAACACGAACCCAAGGAATCACCCCCTACCAAGTAATTGGAGTGGACTATGCCGGTCCTCTGCAATATTGAGTATCCAAGCAAAAGGAAGGGAAAGCGTATGTGCTGCTCTATTCATGTAGTTTAACCAGAGGAATTTACATGGAACTTTTGCCTACGTTGGAAATGACCGATTTTCTCCTAAGCCTGAAACGATTCGTTGCACGAAGAGCGAACCTACTCTGACAACGGGGGAACATTTCGCGGAGCTGCAACATGGATGAGAGCTGTGGCTAAAGATGAAATATTGCAGGATTACTTATCGATTAATCAGATAAAATGGCAGTTCAATCTTAGTCGCGCCCCGTGGTGGGGCGGGCAATTCGAAAGGATGATTGGGCTCGTGAAAGCAGCATTAAGCAAGACCATTGGAAACGGTTTTGCTTGATGTCGAGGTGGCGTTAAATAACCGTCCATTATCATACGTGGAGGATGACGTGCAATTTCCAGTGTTAACGCCAAGTTCGATGTTGTTTCTGAATAGTAATATTTTACCCGAATTGCAACCACATAATATTGAGGACGGTGACCTTAGAAAACGAGCGAATTACTTGATGAAATGCAAAGAAGCGCTTTGGAGACGGTGGACCCAGGAATATTTGCGTGGCCTTCGTGAGAGACATCGTTCGAAAGCGGAATGTAGTGGAGCAGTGCCAACGGTCGGAGACGTAGTGATTATTGCGACAGATGAGAGAAAACGTGGTCGTTGGCCGTTAGGAATTGTCGAAGATTGCTGATTGGGTGAAAAGATGGGAAAATCAGGGGAGCCAAAGTACGTACAGAGAAGTCTCAAATTGAGCGTGCCGTGCAGCATTTGTACCCACTAGAGCTCTCGGTTGACAAGAAAGAACCAGTACCGGCAATACTCAACCCGAAAGCGGAGACATTTAGACCGAAGCGGGATGCTGCAGTTAGCGGCCAAATTGTGTGTTCAGGAGATCGCGGAGGATGAACAATAGACTTAATTTCAAGTGAACATTTGGACACTGAACTGTGAACAGTCAGAACAATTTAGAAATATACTAAGGTTGACATTTAGTACAGTTGTATCATTGGTCAATCTCCAGGTGTATTGGACGACATTTATCTCAAATAGTAGATAAATGGGGGGAGAGTGTTGGAGATTGTCAATATTTAATATTTAACAGTTTATGGCATACCTGAAGTTAATTAATGTGCAAGTGTCAATCAAAAAGCATGCGGTTTGTACATTGCAAGAATTTGTGTGATTGTGTTGAGACGGGGCGAGAATAAATATATTTTTCATAAAAGCGTTTGAAATCTCTACTTTTAGTGAGTTGTTGTGAATATGAGGCAATTCACGACAAGTGTTATGTCTCGGGGCAAGTAATTGTTGCAGGAAAAAGATCAAAATCCCAGCTAAAATTACATTTAGAGCATGTTGGACTCCACAAAAACGTGTTATTTGATTGAAGATATCATTAGAAATCGATAAGTGATGATTCTAATAATATTAAAATAAAATTATTGCTAATATCATGTTTGAAACCAAGAAGTGTAGTATGTTACTCAAAGAATTTGATCTGGTCAACCAGAAACAATGAATTGAGCACATTTTATTACGGCTGATAATCAACTATATGTTCTATTTGTAAATATCATACCGTAAAATAGACTTCCGTTTACCAGAATGTTTTTTATTTAGCAATATTTCCCCTTTTCACGTTGGCGGGAATATTTTATGATTCCCGCGTAATGTATTTATAGGCATGACCCGGGGTAGCTTTGTTCATGTGAACAGAAGATATCAGTACCCCGGGTCAATGACTTGTCGCTGGGCAGTTGTTTATCCCGGGATCATGTGAACAGGGCCTTACAGTAATAAAACGGTGTAATTCCTTCGTACATATAATACTGTAGGGCCACATACACCATCAAAAAATCACTATACTATACACTTTTTTGGGGTGCTTGCCTCTCGAAGTTCGACATTGGAACAGAAAAACATTAATGGTATATTTGTGTGAGACGAATTTAATCGCTATATTCGATACACAACATGACAGCAAGAGGAATATACTGTTATAGCCTCAATGGTGAATCTATCAATAAGCTAAACTTAAGTATGCGGACGTGACAAAAAGACAGTTACTGATGCTTTTCGTTTGGATTTGTTACCAGTTTAAATTTGTTTTTCACATGTATCCTTCTTTGTTGACAAAAATGATCCATATTTTTTACCAGTGTTGCTCACTGCACACTGCAAATTTAGGGTGTGCCTTTTGTCACGTTCGCATGCTAGATTTACCACATCTTGAGCATACATATGCGAGAAAATAGTGTAGCCTAACAATGCAAAAAAAGCTGTAGCTAACAATGGTTAATATAAAACTATTTACCTACCCATAATAAGCACCACAGCCGTTTATATAATCTGGCTCGCCCTTCTTCTCGAGTTTCGCCAGGCTTCAAACTAAATTCTTTCAGGATAGTAATCATTCCGAGTGGTACTGGAAATCTACAAATATTTCCGACTATGAATATTTATAAATAGGATATTTATAAATTCATGTTAATAACAAAACACTCACCCATTTCTTGTGAATTCCGATTCGAAAACTTCGAAAGCTGCTTCTTTCCTTGCTGTATTTACAATACTTTCCGCCATTTTATAATTAGCATAATGAGGCGGGTTGCACGTGCACCTGTTTATAGCAACCATTCCAGGATGATCAGGCTCGGTTACATTGTCACTTCCGGTAAAATCACAATTTTTTTCCATGTTTGAGGACAAATAAATAATGTGTATTAAAGACGGGTTACAGTCCGTGCTGCGCATGTGCGATTCTTTTTGTTTTGGTAGACTACTTATCTCTCGTTTCCATGGTTTCCAGTCCGATTGCGTAATATATGCGCGATTCTATATTTGTTGATAGAAGGAGTGCGAATATATATATACACAGTTTCGAAGAGATTTTCAACGATTTGTGACTTTTATGAAGTGAAATCCGATTAATAACAAATCATTGAAACAATATGAGAAGAAGGAAAGAATATTACGCCAACAAGGATGCCTTTAAAGTGTGTTTATTTGAAATTCAGTCAAGCGCTTCGCCATGTCGTACATATAAAGGTAAATATTTGTTTATACATTTGATTATTTCGTTCTCCTGAGTCGAGACTGGATCTCTGTGAATTTGTGACAATTTTTAAGCTAGGGCAATTACATTCATTTACTGTCTGAGAAAATATGGGACCTCCGAGTTTTATAGTTCAACTTGTTCAAGACATGTATAGACTAATATAGTACTTGAAATCTAATTTAATCACCTCATGCTCAGTACTAGATTCAGTCAAAGATAAAACTGATTTCATCTTTATATGGTGAGCTGTTATCAAAATGCTACTGGGATTGAGTTATTGGATGATTATTGTTTTGTAATTCATAATCAGGCATCTCCATGCAGATGAACTTTTTGGTAGCAGCATATATTTTTTTACATCGGACATGATTGTACTGTATGTTGGTTTTCACATGGGACCCAGTCCTGCTGACCATACATTCAATCATTGTTGTATATTTTATAGCACTTTTGTGCGATTGCATATTAAAATTAATATCACTACTGCACTGGACAAAAATGTACTATGTTGAATGACATGGCATGATTGTTTGTGAACCTTCAAAAAATGCATAGTGTAATCTTTATAAAGGGTATATACCCCATGTAAATCTTTTTTTTTGGAAACATTGAAACCGTAGGTTCTCATTCATGGAAAAATTGAGGACAATTTGCACATCACCACCACCATATTCATGGCTACAGACATTGTGTTCCCCATGCCGACAGGAAGAAAATATGTGCTCTGTTAGATCAAGATAACATTGTATATGTAGAATACTGTTGTTCCAAGAAATTGTTTTGAGTCAGATGTTCTAAACATTGCCATTAACCCTTACTCGCACTAGCAATTTTCTTGGCAAATTTATTCTCATGATACATGTAGGAACATTGATGAAAATACAATAGTAACTGTATTTTCTGTTGTGACATTTATTTTGAAAAACATGATCACAGTCCTGAAGAAAGTTGCTAGTGTGAACAATAGTTACAATACAAATCAAGATTGTAGAAAGTTGCTGGTGTGAACCACATCTTGGCATCTGTTGCACAGCATCAATTAACCACCCAGACAAAAGTGTTACTAGTTGTTGTAAAAAATTCAATATATAGCATATTATGATATTTGTTGTGTTGGTGTAGTGTACTCAGGTGAATAAGATGTTGTGATGTTACTCTGAGTGTATATCCACACCGGGCAGGCTTGAATACAAAAATATGCACCGGGTACAGTGTGTATCCACACCTAGCGCTGCCAGGTGTGGATACACACTCAGAGTAACATCACAAACATATAGCATATTGCTTTATACCACACTAATGATCAGATGTTCATACTTTACTACAATATAATATAATAAAATGCAATACATGTAATATCATTCATTGTTAAACATCTAATGAAACTCCCAAAACAAAGCAGATGTAAGGATTAGAGAATTTTTCCCCTGACTATATATGTTACATGATGGTAATGTTATCTCCACCAAAACTATCAGTATTTATATCTCAATGTTGGCCAGATAACTATTTTGGCCAGAATGTTAAAACTGCTATACTACATTTTTGTTCACATGGCATGAAACATGGTGCTTGAAATCAGTTATCATATATCCATACAAAAAGATAATGAAATATATAAAGTAACTACAGGAAATAGAACTAGAAAACATTTTATAGGTGGCTATTTAAGGACATAATTTTCTGACTCTCAACCAGCACTGGATAATATTCCCAAGTCAATCAAACTATTCTCAACTCATAAACAATACTTGTGCTCTTATGTAATGTGAATTGTTATTATAAGGCAATACATTCTTCCATCTTTGTTTCATCAGCATCCAATCTGCATTGTTTCTTCTATATTTATTCCCCTCTTTAAATTTGTTTCTGATTGGTTAACCACTATATGGTTGTTATAACCACATCTCCACACTCATCACCATGTTTATTCGATGTTAGTGTTGTACAATCTGTAATGTTTCCATGAGCTCAAGGTAACCTATAGTACAGCATAATAGAAATTTTATTCAGTATGTTCAATCATGTCATGTAAAAAATTTCAATATATTCTGCTACCAGAAAGTTCATCTGGAGATGCCTGATTTATGAATTACAAAACATTAATCATCCAATAACTCAATCCCAGTAGCATTTTGATAACAGCTCGCCATATAAAGATGAAATCAGTTTTATCCTTGACTGAATCAAGCTATAGTACTGAGCCGAGGTGATGTACTACAAATATACATCAATACATGTCTCGAACAAGTTGAATTATAAACTCAGAGATCCCATCTTTTCTCAGACAGTAAATGAATAAAATTGCCCTAGCTTAAAAATTGTCACAAATTCACAGCGAATTAGAGATCCAGTCTCCACTCTAGAGAACGAAATAATCAAATGTATAAAACAAATATTTACCTTTATATGACAGTATAACTTCGACATGGCGAAGCGCTTGACTGAATTTCAAATAAACACACTTTAAAGGCATCCTTGTTGGCGTAATATTCTTTCTTTCTTCTCATATTGTTTAAATGATTTGTTATTAATCGGATTTCACTTCATAAAAGTCACAAATCGTTGAAAATCTCTTCGAAACTGTGTATTCCCACTCCTTGTATCAACAAATATAGAATCGCGCGTATATTACGCAATCGGACTGGAAACCATGGAAACGAGAGATAAGTAGTCTACCAAAACAAAAAGAATCGCACATGCGCAGCACGGACTGTAACCCGTCTTTAATTATTATCAATAACCAAAACTCATTTTTGAACATTAGATATACTAAATTTTAAAAAAAGGTGAGAATGGGATGAATTCAGTGACAAAAATATTGCCTGGGCGGATACCTTAAGGACAAAATGTGACGTAATTAACAAGAAAATGTAACGTTTTGAAACGTAAATATCGTGGAAAAAATTTGCGCTCAATGCTTGATTGCAAATGGTATTAAGTTATATGCACTTTTTTTGTACAAATTGTACTGACGTGTTATTTTGTTTCGGCTAACTGCAAATTAGGAAGTGCATTCAGTAACAGGTGTTGCGTTACTTGATGATGCATTATAAACTAAACATAACACACATAGTTAAATCATTCATTGTTCTAAACTTGTACCCTGGATTCCAGAGCCTTCAGTAAATAATAAATTGAAACATTGTGAAGGCTCTGGTTCAACGGGAGGATTCTTTGATTAAACCCGCCCCAATCACAAAACAGAATTAGTGGTTTTAGTACAGATTCAAAATTAACCCATCGAGTTGCATTGCACCCTGATGCGCCTGACTTTATTATTTTGCTCTATATAACGCCAGATGATTTACTAATCAATGGGTGAGCGCTGGCACTTAATGGGTTAACTGACCATCTGCCCATGTGTGTAGTTAACCAATGAGTTGCATACTTGTGCCCTGATCAATGCATCTACCCTACTTTATTATTTTGATCTGTCTTTACTAATGCCGGACGATTTTACTTGTCAAGGGGAGAGCACTGGCGCTTAATTGGTTATACACACAGTATAACCTGTGTAATAACGTATGTAGGTTAAAAAACACAAGCATTTTATCTGCCATTTTAAACTAATGATAAATTAAAATGAGGTTTAACATAAATAAATCTTGGGGCTAACAATGTTATCTTGACGTTTTTCAACCTCATGCTGGATGTTTTTGAAAATAAGTCGTTTTCAAGATGGACAACAGTTCAAGTGCTGAAATAGAGATATTTTTAGAGAAATAAACCTTTCCGATGTGGCTGAGATATTCAAAAGTCGGTTGCTTTACCCTTTAGAACATGCTTTTATTGTGTCACACACAATATTTTTTTATCGCATATGACTAAATGTTTCAATTTATAAGTCGGGACCACATGAATATCCTGAAATTGTTAACAACTCCTACCCTTCCCACAGGTATTTTGACTCAGAAATTGTGCCCTTGTGTGGGGAATTTGACAAAAACATTACAAAATGTCAAATGCCGGTGGGTTTGCCCACCCTCTTTGGGGTGGTGGAAACAAATTATACAGTATGTGCATAAAGCTGCAATGGCAATAAAATTCCTTGTGAAATTGAATCCAGTGTCATAATAAACTACAAACATTCTAATTGAAATATACCTTACCATAAAGACATATGTTGACACCTTGCAATACTTCTCAACATCATTCTTTAGTGAAAGAACAAGATGTGCTTTGGAGCCAGGATGGATAAGAACTGAGAAAGTGTTATTTTTAACTTCAACAGTCTCTGATAACACGTTGTAAATGAGAGAATGCAAAAATTTGTCGAGTAAAATACTTGGAACAAGTGTCTTTTGCAAGCAACCAAATGTACTTAATTTATCCAACTCATTAACTTTGGATGCACTTTTGTAAACTTCCAATAAGAAAAAGTTTTAATGTATTGCAATTAATTTTTTTCCCAGACAGTTCTAACATTGCTTGGACAACTTTAAATGTGTCAGACATCCCATCAGTCTTCATGTATGTCCCCCGGTACTTCAATTGTCACAGCTTCCACCGCAAAAATAATCTCTATTCTCCCCATAGTAATGCAGTATGGATGAATGTCCAGTGAACTTCCAATAAGAAAAAGTTTTAATGTATTGCAATTAATTTTCTTCCCAGACAGTTCTAACATTCCTTGGACAACTTTAATTGCGTCAGACGCCCCATCAGTCTTTATGTATGTCCCCTGGTACTTACGTTGTCTATGAAATTAACCTGTTAAGTGTTAAGGACTGCTTTGAAAAGTCTCCATTGGCACAGAAGAGTTTCAGAAGTGCAGTTTTATCTGCATAGTTATAATAGGTTAAGCAAGTACTTAGTTGGTCATCACACCTGCTCTTCCACATTGTTGAAAATATTCATCTAGATTGGTAGGCATTTTCTCATGAATAATGAATCTCACATTTCTGTTGTCAACCCCCATGCCAAATGATGTATTTGCAACCATAACTTTCACTTCACCTGATGTCCACTTTTGAAAACTGGCTTCTTTAACAGGTTGAGACAACTGACCATGGTATTGTACACACATTTCATTTCTTTTTAATAATTCTGAATGTATTTTAAGTACATCAGATGGAAAGACACTGTAGACAATTCTGCATTCATCTTTCCTATTTAATATATACTGAGCCAATTCATCATAAAATTTATTTCCACTTGGCTTTTCCTGAACATGTAGGAACATATTATCACGTAATACAGTTCCTTTGATAACTTCCAATGTACCAAACACTTCTGACAGTTCTAATACTAGTTGGTGGGGTATGGTTGCACTTAGCAGCAACTTTGGGCAAGGAAATTTTGCCAACTCATTTGCGGCACTTCTGTACTGAGAACGAAACATATTCCCCCAACTGCAGACTGTATGGGCTTCATCAAAGACAATTCTTTCCACATGAACACTCATGAGGTTTTCCAACATGTTTTTATTAGCAAACATTTCTGGTGTACAAAATACAAGTTTGAACTTAGCGAGTTTCTCAAGACAAGAATTACGAACATCAACTGGGATCTCATCAGTAATTTTGCAAGCTGGAATGTCTAAAGTTAAACATCTACTCAAGAGATCATCTATTAAGGGAACATTTATTATGCCGAGGGGGGGGATGAAGATGTTAAGGGGGGGGCACTGAAATATTTTCTGGCATTAAAGGGGGGGCTCTGAAAGTTCTTGATATACTGAAGGGGGGGGGGCTCTAAACTTTTCAAAGGTTTGACCCCAGCAAATTAAAGTTAAAATTTTTACATCAGTTTCAGGTAAAATTTGCGTAATAAAGTAATTATTTTTGTGAAATGATAACCATTTTTGTAAAATACAGTCAATTTACATGCAATTTGTTTGCGAAATTTGCTTTAGAAAACGCCAGAAATTCAGTCCTAGAGCTTCGAAAATGTAAAAATTTTCTGGGAGAGGACCCCCAGATCCCCCTTTTCTCCCAAAACTTAGTATAAGAGTGCCAATCAATCACAAAAAGCTTTATTATAAATATTACACGTATAATCCTCTGACATCCCCCCACCCCAAACGTCAGATGCTTTGCTACGTCCCAGATGGTTGTATTCGAAACCGATTTCAGTTTTAAGATATCCTTAGTCTGCTCTTCTAAATAGATACATGAAATCACCAACAGCTTATTTTAATTTTTTTTGCGCCAGGTTTGTGAAGTAATTTACGCGCCAAAAAGCATATACAATTTGCAAGAATGATATGTTCTATGTTTATGGGATATTTCGTACAAACGGGATGGAAATTAAAGAAATTGAAGCATACTGGCACTTTTGCATGCATTTTTGACAGGCATGCAAAGACATTTGCAACAGATGCCGGGAGACACGTTAAGTGGGGGCAACATACTGTAAGGTTCCAGCACATTACCCTGATCCAGGAAATCCTGGCCACTACATGAACGTGTTCAAGACTCCGAATACGCTGAATGATGGACAACAACAACCTGTTGATAATTCCACCCCTAGAGCCAATTTAAAATGTTTTAAAGACGGTGCCATTTCATCTGGCCCGAGTGAGATGAAAGAAGCAGCAGATCGGTAGTTTTGTTGAGGAGAAGCACTTGAGTATATCAGACATGTTGAGGAACTGCAAATTGTATCTATGATAAGAGAGAATTCCGGATTGTACTCCTTCGATTCCGAATTCTAGAGGAGGGGGGCGGGGGGCATTGAAAATTTTAAAAACTTGGAGGGGGGGCATCGAAATTTACCGATAACCTCAACAGGGGCCCTGTAAAAATATGAGCTTTTTTCAAGACATCTTCATCCCCCTCCCTCGGTGTAATAAATGTACTTTCCCTTACATCATAACGGTTACTCTCCAAGTACTCAAACACTATATTCTGCACAGTCCTCGAAGACGACCCCAACTGAAAGCCAGCAGCCGAATAAAAACATAGCCCATCATCGCTGGGAGGTTTATACGAAATCTTTAGTCCAGCCTCTTCTATTCTGCTCTGAAGTACTTCCATTTCACACAAGTTTTATACCTTACAGCAATGCGGCAACTGAAGACGTTTTTAAGAGAAAGCTCGTCTGCACGTGTATGCGTTAACCAAAGTTTAATCGCAATGCGTTAACCAAAGTTTAAACGACAATTTCTCGCAAGTTTTGATCCAGAACTGAAAGCAAATCCCGACATCCGCGGTGACACTTCGACGTGTCAGTGTTATTTTTCATTTTGCTGCGAATTTGTTGCGCCGATGAGGCATAACTAACCCAGGAAAATATCACTATTAATAAAAATTAATGTTGAAATATTTTCCGGTTTTATATTCCCCAGCCATGCATGGAGTAATACTTGTATTCAAATTCGCGTAGTAATCAAATTCGCGCAGACGATAGGAGCCATAGGCGCAAGAATTACAACATGAGCAGAAAATAATCTGTGCGAAAAATGTTTGCTGCCGTAGGCATGCATATATAGGCATATGGCCGCCTGTCAACGTTTGCCACGATGCAGAAAATACTGTTAGTTAGAAAATCACGGCTTTACAAATTATTTTATACGACATTAGTGTTTAGTCGTGGGTTTCTAGATCATGCGGGAAACATAGCTATACAGTACTATATATCGCTTTTGTGGTCGTAATGATTGCTGAAATCATGAGTGCACAAAGGTCGCAAAGGGTTATTATGTTTATCAAATGGCATGTGAAGCGGCGCCTTTTGACTGCAGCGATCGAAATTTGATCAGTTATTAGCTTCATAATGATCAAAATAGGGTTTATTCGTTAGTATACATCGGCGTATAAAACATATCTGTTTGTTCAAACTAAACTTTGCGTTTAGAGAAGCATATTTACTCTGCGCCATGGCAAATTCCATAATAGGGATAAAACATTGACGCTGGGTTAAAGCAAATTAATTAATTGTGATACGTATGTGCAATGGTAAGTATTTGATTCTGTTACTAAAAATTTGCGAACAAATTATAGAGTCAAAAAATTGACCCTCGACATTTTTTTCGACCCTCGACATTTTTTTCGACCCTCGACATTCTACCCTCGCCCTCGACCTATTACCCTCGACCCTCGACCATTAGTCAAACTCGTTACGGACCTCTCACGTTTCGCGCCAAAACAAACCGAGGAGTGAAGGCAGTTATCCAAAAAATTGGAAAATCCTCCTTATCGATACTAAAGCTAAATAAGCTAAACTGATTCAATAGATTTGGTGTCAAGCCCGAAATGTTCTTTCCATTTTGCCAAATTTTAAAAATAGCCTCTGTCCCCGTAACACTTACTTATTCATGTTTATTTAATTATTTCGTGGTGTTACATGTAAATTAATAAATAGTATTATTCATGCGTGCAATCTGAGTGTTTGCCGACCACAATAACAGGTCAGTTTCGTAGTAACGTCGACAACTCAAATGCGAAACTAAAAACGATTGAGTTTGTATATTTCACTTTGAATGAGAAAACTGCCTTTGAGGCTTTGAACAATGAATACAGGTAGGTGGAAAGATGATACAGACAGTGCGGCTAAGGCTTGGATTAAATCTAAATTGCTAATAGATCATTGCGTGAGAGATTGAGCCATGCCGAGCCGCGATGTCTAATATGACTTTGATTTGAATTCTTATTCTTAATTTTGAGATTTTTAATAAACACCGGCT